ACCGAACTACCCCACTAAGTTCACTGGAGCATATCCTAGGCCTTCCCAGGCTCCCAACCTCACCCTGCCATCAGCTGCTGAGGAACTCCCAATGGTGCCAGCCATCCACCTCCTGGATATTGTCATATCCATTTAGTGGCTGACTCCCATCACTTAAGAGTTCCACAAAGCACGAAGCAAGCAGCATTCGTGTAGAAGCACTCTGATCCAAAGAACGGCCATAAAACATTTCGCCCACATATCGCAACCCGCGCTACCCACATCCATCCATCCTCACGGTCGGCTGCCTTATGCATGCAAATTATACACAGAACAGAATCTAATAGACTGTCGAATAATAGACTCTACCCTAGGACCACATCCAGACAAGGAAAAGGAAATAAGGTCAATTCAATTATTCTAAGGCTATAAGATCCTAACCATATACAATTTTAAAAAAACATACACGTAGCAGTTACTAATACCAATAATCATTCTCATTCTAGCATGGCATCCAGTATCTCCAAGGCTACAAGCAACACATAACAGGCCAACGTGTAGCTAACTACGCAGCACTAGCATGCAAGTCTACCAGCTCATACAACATGTAAAGGCATCTCTCCTAGCCCTAACTAGCATGTGATCCTCAGGTTCATAAATCAAATCATAACAAATAACAAATAACAATTGTGGGTATTCTGGGAAACTTAATTGAGCTCGGCCGATTTCATGCACCACACCCTTTCTTGTCTTAGAAATTCTTTACTTAAAAACATTTTCCTTTTAAAAACTTTACAGATCCTCAGTTTGAGTTCAGACTCACCCGAAAGTTTGTCCGAATCTCTCAAACCAAGACTCTGATACCAACTTGTAACGTCCCAAAAATCAAGGGTAAAAATTTCATTTTTATTATAGTCAACACATATATCTTTAAATCCAAGTATTCCAAAACATTAAAAATTAAAAGCAATTATCAGAGTTCATCCCAAAATCAAACATTGCGGAATTCATAGGTGTGTGCACTGCGATCATTCCGAGCCCTTCTTTTCCAATCGATGAAACCTGAAACCAAAACTGTAAACCGTAAGCAGAAAGCTTAGTGAGTCCCCCAGAGCATACCCCACACACAATCCACATAACTCATAACACATTAGCTTCAAAATCTATCTCTACCGCATACCACATATCGATTTAGCAATAAAAGCTATCTCTACCACATAACATATTAGCTACAAAAGCTATCTCTACCACATATCATGTTAGCTACAAACGCTATCTTTACAACACAATACATATCAATTAGCTATAAGAGCTATCACTACCACATATCACATATCAACTAGCTATAGCAGCTATCTCTACCATTAGCCACAAAGGCTATCTCTACCATTAGCCACAAGGCTATCTCTACCATGAGCCATAAAGGTTGTCTCTACCATTAGCCACAAGGCTATCTATACCATTAGCCACAAAGGCTATCTCTACCGCATATCATGCATACATACATATCACACACCTCTACATAGCAAGTATACCAACTATCGTAAAATGGGCCTGCCTTGGTGCCTTAGACCCATTGGTATGGTGAGAAGACTCACCTCGCACTGCTGAAATCCTGCAGACAAAACTCCAGATGCTGGACTAACAGAGTATGACCCAGTCAGTCCTGACGCACTACTCCAACTCAACTGCCTGTAAGCATCATGCGATTAACCTGTCATGACCTTGAAATACCATAACTACCCCCGAGTCAACCCTAGTCAACCCTGGTCAAAGTCAGAGTCTATAGTCAAGGTCAACAGTCCATATTAACCTTTACTCGCCAAGTACAGTCAGATACTTATCGGTTTTCCTTGTTCAATTCATCGACTCGCCGAGTCACCCTTGTGACTCGTCCAGTTCCTTGATGCTTATGGCCGTAAACCTCCGACCGTACACTTCTGACCGTACACCCTTGACCGTACACCCTTGGCCGTACACCCTTGGCCATGAACGAGAAAACCCTCTCGACTCGCCGATTCACTCGCTCGACTCGCCAAGTCTCCCTTAGTTCCTTATGTTTTCGGCCCATTCAAGGTTCTAAACTTCAGATCTCTACTCTACTAGTGTGGATAGCACGTAAAGTTGCAAACTTTACGTGCATGCAAGGCCTCACATGGCCACAATCACCAAAACTAACTCTTTAATATGGTTCCATACATGGAAGGGAATAAGCTTAATAACAGGTGCAACTTTATGATATTTGGGACCTAAAAAGGTCCAGATCTGGAACCATATCCTTGTGATAGGTCCAGATCTAAGCTTGCTTTCATTTCCTCAAAGTTTGTTCAAGAACTCCCAAATAGAGTACAAGCTTAAGGTAACAGATTCATACCTCAATTTGATGCCCAAGACGAACTAGATGTTAGATCCATTGTTTTCCCCTTGATTCTTCTTCTCCAAACTTGGATTCATTCCCAGATTCCCAAAGTGAAGCTCTCAAATGCACACACTTCACACACTAGGGAGTTTGCGGCCGCACACAATCTCTTATGATGTTAAGGAAGGCTACAAGAGCCTTGAATGAGGCTTATATAGGGGGCAAACCCCGAAATCAGGGTTTTCCTTAAACAGCTTGGACTCGTCGAGTCGGTCCTTCGACTCGCCGAGTCAGTCCCAACTCGTGTCCATGATATCACGCTCCTACTCGACGAGTTGGACTCCCAACTCGCCGAGTCCATGCACAAAACACCCCAAAATAGCAATTTCCAACCAATACTCGAAACAGGTGTTACAATCGTCGAAATCGGATTTATATCGAGAAAGTTATGGCCTTCGAAGTATATTAGTACTGAAGGAAAACCCTAGTACGCGGGGCGTAGCTTGGTAGTACACAGGGTGTACTGATGCGAGGGTCTGAACGCGAGGCGTACACTATCATATGCTTAGCGTACTACAACAGGCTGATCGAGGATGCGAGACCTCGTACGTTGGGCGTACGAGGAGTACGCAGGGCGTACGTGGAGTGGATGAAAACCCTAAATTTTTATGTTGTACCCTATATAAGCACACTACGTCCATAGGGTTGGCCTCTTTACCAGCCTCCAAGTCCCCCAAACCCTAGAAACCATCCCTTAGCCTCCATGGTTGTGTTTGTAGCTCCTTATGTGCATCTTATGTTATTTTTGGCTCATATCAAGAAGATGGAGTTTGGTGCAAGGTTGTAGATCAAAGAAGAGTTATTGGATCTTGATGATGTGCTTCATTTCCAGTTTGTTTGAGGTAAAAAGATATGAACTTGATCATTGATGTCTTAGATCTATCTTATGTGAGTTTTAGTCCCTAAGAATGAGATCTAGTGGCTTGATACCACTCCAGGAGCTATGAGTTATCACTCTTGATGTTTCTGAGGTTCTTGATGCATAAAGTTGTGACCTTTAAGGTTTAGATCCATCCATGCATGAGTTTACGCCCATTTTATGAAAGTAGAGTGTTATATCTTGAGGTTGGGTTCTTTTGGGGCATGCAAAGTCACCAAGTCAGTGACTTTATGGTTCTAGATATTTGTTTGGACTCAGATCTGTGACTTGGACTTATGGACCTAAGCATTAAGAGCTTTATGGAGGATTTGGCTTAATGGAGGAGTATGTTGGGCGTACAAGTCTGTACGCACAGCGTACAAGCTAAACAGCTAGTACGCTTAGCGTACAGCTGAGTACGCCCGCGTACTAAGTCAGGAGGGATTTCGCATGATGGGCTTCGATTTGGGCGATCTTCTGGGCTTAGTGGTCTTGGGCCTTGTTGGGCCATTTGGTTTTGGGCTGATAATTATTTTGAGAAGGTCTACAATGGGTTTGGGCCCAATTTGGAAAATTGGGCCATTGATTGGGCCTTGGGTAGTTTTTGGTATTTGGCTCTTTTGGATTATTAGGTTTGGGCCTAAGTCTTGGTCCAAACTCCAAACTAGGTAAGGGGTAAATTGGGCATTTACCCTACTAATGGATTTCTGGATATGGTTTGGGCCCCAAATGTTGATTGGGCATTGTTTTGATAGTGTTAGTTCGGGGATCGGTCAGCCAGCAGCCAGAGATTTATCTGTGGGATTTAGCAATGCAAGGTGAGTCTTCTCACCATATCTATGGGTCGAAGGCACCAATGTCGGCCCATTACTTGTTATATGGAATGCTAGTTGTCTCTATGATACTTGCATGGAAGACCATGGGGGTATCCCATGGCATTTAGATATCAGACCATGGGGTAGCCCATGGCATTCCAGGTAAAGACCATGGGGGTAGCCCATGGCACTTGGATATCAGACCGTGTAGGGAGCCTATGGCATTCCAGGTAAAGACCATGGGGGTAGCCCATGGTACTTGGATATCAGACCACGGGGGGAGCCTATGGTATTCCAGGTAAAGACCATGGGATAGCCCATGGCAATTATATGTTTGTCGCATGATATTATGTGGTTATATGTTATGTGGTCGGCTCAAAAAATATGTTATGTGGTATTTTGGGGGAACTCACTAAGTTTTATGCTTACGGTTTTCAGTTTATGTGTCAGGTACTTCACTTTTCAAATGGAAGAGCTCGAGATGATTGCAGAGCACACACCACATGTTTCCACATTCTGTGATCTACTCTGATTCGATGATGTTTTTGCTAAATCTCGATTAACTTGGTTTTATGGAAGTGATTTGTATTAACGATTTATTAATCTAAAAACGAAAATTTTATGTCATTATCTTTGGGATGTTTCATTTACTTACTATACAACTCTACATTAATTTTCCTATAATGCATTGAACTTAATAGAGTTCAATGGAATATATATTTAATAGTTAAAAAGTTTCATTTTTCCATTGAAGAGTTCAATGGCATTGAACTTTATATTCATTGAATGTCAACAATGCATCCCACATTGGTAGAGTTTAATCCATTGAATATCAGTTAGGCATGTCACGTCATTCAACTCTTCCATTGAACTATGCATTGTGGATACTCTTAGACTCGAAGGTGGATCCGTTACATTTCACATTAGACCGTTTATATATCCTATGACTCGCTCGTCCTTATCCTTATGATTACATTCATTTACTAAAAACAATACACGTGTGAAGTGTCAATACATTATAGTTGTCTCTTTTAGAACTTTGAGAAATTAATTTGCTCTCTTTCTGGTTGTCTTTGGTTATAAGAACGTCGATTTGCCATGAAACGAAATTACCATACAAAGACAATTCCCAACAACGGAGACCACATGCTTAAAACTGGCTTAAAGTTGCAGCTCTATACAAATATTAATTGGAGATCAAACCAAACTCACTTTTAGCGTAACTGAAAATATATACTCTACCATATAATATGGAACCTTACTTTTGCCTGGTCCTGTGGTCCATTGTTGTTGGTGTAATTAAGGTGTAGCTACATTTTCCTTGGAAAGAGGAGCAATCTCTTCTCCTTCAATCCCAGGCTCACTGCCTTCAACCCCCAAACTCAGAAGCGCCTCTTCCCACTTCTTGGAAGGTTTCTGACAACAATGTAAACTTTTAAGTAAGAGTACAAGTTACTATTATACTTTATGTTTTGGATTTTTACATTCAGATATACTAACCTTCCATGAAAGTTCTTGAGCCATACAGTTTTGAATCATCTCTGAAAAAGCCGGAGTACCATAGACTCCAAGTGCCCTTGTAATAGTTTTGGCTATTGCACTTACATCCGCTTGATCAACCGTTTCGCACTAGAAAAAAAAAAGCACTTTTTGAAGATGTTTAATTAAACTGTCCATGAAACAGCATTCGAATGAATATTCAGTATTATTACCTCAACATTAAAAGCTCCCATCTGAAATCCTGTGTAGCCTTCTTTCACCGTGTCCACAAGCCCCCCAGTTGACGCAACAATGGGCACCTAACAATCCAAATTAATTAATAAACAAATAAAAAGCTTATTTATAAACACATGTACATGCAAGTTATTATATAATATAAGTCGTATAGTTAGTTACACATCCGTAAGGCATTGCTTGCAACTGTATGAGACCACATGGTTCGAATCTACTAGGAACTATTATAAAATCAGCTCCAGCTATAATCATATGAGCCAGTTTCACATTGAATTTCGCTACTCCTCTGGCCTTCAGTGGGTATTGTGTCTCTAAATCATCCAGCTGCTTCTCCATCGCCTTTTTCCCCGTCCCCTAACACACAATTTAAGAAGTTTTAAAAAGGTTTAATTAACTATCGGAAATAGATAAATTCAATTATTCAATATGGATTGGGCTAGCTATATGCATGGGTACTTAATTAATGGCTCTTCCGTCAGCTATATATATACCTGATTACATCGTGAATAAGATATTAGATACTCACAAGAACTATTATCTGGACATTCTCCTCTATAAATTTCGGGATTGCTGCAGCAAGGATATCTGAACCTTTTTGCTCTTCAAGCCTGCCTATGAAACCTATCACTGGGATCTTCTTATCCACTGGCAATCCAACTTCCGCTTGTAGGGCTTCCTTTATAAGCGGCTTTGCACTCATTACCTATGATAACATATCAAAATATTTAAACAACATGCAGACACATGCAAAATCAGGTAGCTGTTGTTGTTGTTGTTACTTACAGTGGTAGAATCAAATTTGACACTAGTGTATTTATCGGTCATGGGATTCCATTCTTGGACGTCCATCCCGTTGACAATTCCATGGATGGATGTTTTGCGGAGGATATTATCTAATTCCACTCCTTTGTCTGGCCCAGAAACAAGCTCCTTGGCATAGTAAGGGCTCACAGTTAAGATCTTATGTGATTCCAGTATTCCTGCTTTCATCCAATTAATCTTCCTTCCCTTTACTGGTCTCTCATATCTGCACCAGATTTCAACTAATCACTAATCAAAAACCCTTACACACAAAGTTCAATTCCCACTGATGTAAACGTTAATTAATTACTTAATTACCCGTCGATGAAATCAAAAGAGCTTTTGAACTCATCTGGGAGATTTAGGAGTGAAAAGTCTGAAAACCCAAATCTGCCTTGGTATGCTATGTTGTGGATACAGAACGCAACCTTCATCAATTTAAAACGTAAATTCATCTCATCATCTCTTTGTAGGACATTAGAAAAAGAGATAATAATAATAATAATCTTATAATCTTACGTACTTTAGCACTAATATACATTCCTCTAGACTGATACATGCTTTTCAAGTAGCACGGAATGAGTGCCGAATGCCAATCATTGGCAACGAAGACAACATCTTCCCCTGTACCAAAAAAAAAATTATATTTTATTGGATGTGAATATCGATCACAAGCTCACGGAAGATGCATGAATCATTTATACCTACCGTAAGGCCCTGAGAAGTATTTACTACTATTGAGATTCAACACCCTTGGGGCTTCCAAAGCTGCCTGAAAGTATTATTGATATATACTAAAGATAATTTCTCTTGTGATCTCTTTAAATGAGTAAACTAGTACACGATCAAACCTGGCATAATAAGCTGAATCTTATCTGATTATCCTGGTAGTCTATTCCAGCTACAGGTCCATATATTTTCGAATCTGTCTTTCCCCAAACCTTACGTCCATAAATTTCTTTAGCAGTGGCAAAAGAGATTTAATGTACAAATGAAAAGGACGTACGGATATATCTACCTTTTCAAGGAACATTGGATGATCCACAAACACCCTATCAACACCTCTCTTGTAGCAGTGGAAGAATCGCACCTTTTCAGTTCTGTCCCCAGCCTTGAGCTATGCATGTATGTCCAAATGGGATATTGTCATATCGATATCAAATATAAAGCTTGGAGGAATGAATACAAAAAATGGTATACCTCAAGTTCTATTTCAGTATCCCAAGCATCCTTGTATTGATCATAACGAGGTGATACTGTCATTACACGATGCCCATTTGCCTAAATAACAGAGCAACAACTGATTTTTGTTTTGGGTCAAATAAATGTTCAAAGCGAGAACATAAAGAGTGAAGTAAGAACCTACAGCCATCGCAGGAGGGAGACCACCGAGCACATCACCAAGTCCACCGGTTTTGCTCCATGGACCTACTTCTGCTCCCACAAAAACCAAATTCATCCCACATTCACAGATCATCACTTTTCTTGAATTCTCATTTCGAATCTTTCTTGCTTCGGTCAACCTCGCAGCATTATACAAAACCCTAAGTCCCTCATGTAAGACCAGCTGCCTCTTCCTAACACTTAAGGCACTTGCTCTAACATCTCTTCTGTTCGTAGATACTGTCACGCCATTCTTCGGACCAGAGCTTCTTGACACAATATTCCATGCAGTCGCAGTTGCCATCTGTGGTAGCTCTGTAAATCAATCAAAGGGGTAGTTAGACAACAATTCAAGAGGTGAAAGCATTAATTATTAAATTCAGAAAACCAAAGAAAGGAAAGGAAAGAGTCATGCATAAAAATTGGAACTTGTTGTGGATGACTGGGGCAGAACTGTTGCAATCGAGAACCAAGGAAATGAGTATATATTGAATTTAAAGTGTGGTTGATATTAAATTCACGTGGGCTACATGCCAAAATGCAAAAAACCACAAATTGTTTTGTGTTTATGGTTGTTGGAATTGGTGTTTGGAAATTTACTTCCCAGGGGGCAGGGACCACATGTTGATGTTCACGGCTTACAATTATTCTAACCCCAATTAAACTTGGAAGAGTGCATATGGGAATATACACGAATATTATTGCAATTTGATAGCTAAAGTGATTCACTGTTCTTTTACCCCCAATTATACCTTCTTCTAGGTCGATTATTACATTAGAAAAGAATATATCTAAAACAAATACTAGGATTTTATTAATTTTTAGACAAAAAATTAAGGTATTTTCAATGATAATTATAAATTTTGGACGGCTCTTCTGCAAAATGGGATTTAGTGCATTCTAACTGTTAGCCTAATAAGATTTAGGCTTTATTTTGTATTGGGTTTTATGATTGGGCATTTTCGCTAGGAAACCCTAATTAGCTTTTCTATATATTATGTCTTTCCTTATGTTCCTTCCTCTTTGCAGATTGCTGATATTCTTACGAAGCCGTTGACTGCTCCTCGATTCCATTTTCTGTCTGACAAACTCTCAATGCTTATTGATGTTGCATTGTGAGTTTGAAGGGTGATGTTAGCCTAATAAGATTTTGGGCTTTATTTTGTATTGGGTTTTATGATTGGGTCTTTTCGCTAGGAAACCCTAATTAGCTTGTCTATATATTATGTCTTTCCTTTTCATTGTATTTGTACTTCTCTTTGATAATAATATGAAACCCTAGCCGTTATATGTATTTCACTTGTTAGTTTACATGGTATCAGAGCTCGGTTGATTATCTGTAGTTTTTCGTTTTTGGGGGGCGAGTACTGTTCATCGGCAATTACTGTTCATCGGAGTTACTGTTCATCGATTACTGTTCATCGGCGATACTGTTCATCGCGATTACTGTTCATCGGAGTTATTGTTCATCATTGGAAGGCAAATTGTCCTTTGCTGACAAGCAAGGGAAATCAGCAGCAACAACAAACAAGATCACCAGCACACTCTCAGTCTTCACAGCAGAACAAGTCTTCTGGACAGTCACGTCCCTCTTTTTCATCTTTTAGGCCACCATAGTACGCTGCTGCTACACCTTCAGTTGAGAATGAAACAGATTTCACACCACCATCAGCCTTGGATCCACAGATTGTTGAGCAGTTCAGACAGTTCTTAGCTACCAATCCAACTGCCATGTCAGCTTCCATGTCTCATTCAGGTCTGTCTTCATCCAACACGTCAGGTATTCCTTCATCCTTGTGGATATTGGATTCTGGTGCATCTCATCACATGTCACCACATTTTTCATCTTTTGCTTCATTATCTTCTCGTACACCTGTCTCTGTTTATGTCTGCTAGTGCTACACCCATGTCAGTAGAGGGTGTTGGTTCTATTGTCACTCCTTATATATCTTTAACAGATGTGTATTACATTCCTACACTTGCTTTGAATCTTGCATCGGTCAGTCAGTTGTGTAAATCTGGTTGTTGGGTCTTCTTTTCTGATTCATTCTGCTGTGTACAGGACATTCGGTCTCGGAGGGTGATTAGGATAGGCCGTAGACTTGGGGAGCTTTATGTCTTGGAGCAGCTACATGTTGCTGATGTTGCTGCATCTAGTGTCGATTTGTCGTCTTTTCGTTTAAACCCTTCAACGTCTCTTTTTTATCTTTGGCATTCTCGTTTGGGACATGTTTCAGCGTCTCGTTTACAGTTTTTGGTTTCCACTGGTGTGTTAGGCTCTTTGAAATTTGATGATATTTCTGATTGTTGTGGTTGTAAACTGGGAAAATTTTCTGCTTTACCGTTTAATAAAAGTGTCACTCGTTCTGTTGCTCCCTTTGATATTGTGCATTCTGATGTGTGGGGTCCCTCTCCGATAACCTCCAAGTCAGGAGCTAACTATTATGTTTCATTCATTGATGTTTACACTCGTTATACGTGGGTTTATTTTATGAAGCGCAGGTCTGACTTTTTCACCATATATAGTGAATTCAGAGCTCTTGTCAAGACTCAACACTCTGCTATCATAAAATGTTTTCGGTGTGATCTGGGAGGAGAATTTACCTCCAATGATTTTAAACAATTATTGGCATCTGATGGCACTATACATCAATCATCTTGTACAGACACTCCTCAGCAGAATGGTGTTGCAGAAAGAAAACATCGACATCTCCTAGAAACTGCTAGATCCTTACTACTCTCTGCTCAAGTTCCCAATATGTTTTGGGGAGAAGCTGTTTATACCGCTACTTATGTTATTAATCGCATTCCTACTGCGTACACTTCAGGGAAGTCTCCTTATGAAATGTTGTTTGGACAACTCCCAGATTATTCTTCATTACGAGTGTTTGGGTGTACATGTTTTGTCTTGAAGCCTCATGTAGAGAGAGATAAGTTGTCTTCAAAATCAGCTCGTTGTGTTTTTCTGGGATATGGTATTGGTCAGAAAGGTTATCGGTGCTATGATCCTTCAAATCAGAAACTGTATGTATCTCGCAATGTCACCTTTTTGGAGCATATTCCATTCTATAGCATTCCTGTTCAGTCACATGATGCAACCCGAGAGGAGCTTCGTACTATTGATCCGTTTAGCATTTACATTGATGATCCACCACATGTCACTGATCCACCACTTGCTGCTGATCCACCACATGTGGCTGATCCAGCACCTATCGTTGATCCTTTGCCTGCAAATCATCAAGACCCCCCTCTATCGAGACCTTATCGTAATAAGAAGTCCACAAAGCTTCCTGAATTTCTCTATTCCTCTTACTCACCGGCTTTTGCCTCTTTTATTGCTAATGTATATCGTCTCTCTGAGCCAACATCCTATAAAGAGGCCATTTCTGATCCCCTTTGGCAGACCGTTATGGCTGAGGAACTTGCAGCTCTTTATCAGGACTCATACATGGGATCTGGTTCCGCTTCCACCTGGAAAACACACGATTGGTTGTCGTTGGGTTTATAAAATCAAAACAAAGTCTGATGGATCCGTTGAGCGTTATAAAGCCAGACTTGTTGCGAAAGGGTACGCGCAAAAGTTGTTGGAGATAGTGTCTAAGTCCATAACTATATTTGGTATGTACTTTACCCGACCCGGCATGGTCCATTTGGGTTGCACTTCACCCGAACAATTTACGGATAATCTTTTGAGAATAGTATAAGTTTTATGATTTATTATATTATAAGTTCTAATATATTAATATAAAATCATATTATTTAATTAGTGTTGATCTATAATTAATTTAGAGATCAAAAGTATGACTAATTAAATATGGGCTCTTGTATTTATATAGTGTGGGCTAATGCTTATTTGGAATGGGCTAGGCTTGCATGGAAAGTCCATGGATACTCCACGGAGCTTAAACCCATGGATCTCATGGAAATGAAAAGACATGGGTATTAGGGTTTACATGGATGTAACCCTAATCCACCACACTATATAAAGGAGGCTTTGGTTCTTGAAATCACACTAGTTGTGGTGAGTAAAGTAAGAGGGCCGATTTCAAGAAAGGGATTACTATTCTCTCAAGTTTCCAAGTTTGTGGTGATTTGTGACTTCCATTTGAGGCATCCACATTATTGGTGCTAGGCTCTAAACTCCAAGCAATCAACTACTACTACAAGGTAAGTAATTCTACTAGTTTTATTTGATTCAAGTACCCCATGCCATGCTAGTTAGGATAAGAACCTTGGAAAAATAATTATTACATGTATCTTAGTCAAACATAGATCCAAGGTTTCTAGGGTTGCATGTACACCATAGGAGTGTTAGAATGCTCAAAAACCCATCAGTGGTATCAGAGCCTGGTTTGTTTATTTGATACTTGATGCAAAAAAAAAAAAAAAAAAACTTGAAAATCGAAGTTTTGTTCAAAAGCTCGTATCAAAATTTCAAGTTTTGTATATGTACTTACGATTCTTGAATTTTTTGATATGAACATTCATAAACATATGAGTTTAGAAGATCATAGAAATTATGTGCTAATAATTGATTAGATTAATTCTTGATCTTTATGTGTTTTAATGGAGTCCATAACTAGTTCTTAAGTTATGGATAACCAAAAGTCAGATTTATAAATAACCATTAAAAGAACACATAGGTTACAAAAAATGAAGAGTCTTCATTTTTAATAACCATTAACTCATAAGTTATGAGAAATGAAAAGTTTTGAAAGTTTACAAAACTTGCCCTCAAGTTTGGAACATGTAAAGTCATATTAAAAACTTTAGTTCCAACCCCTAGAATTTTAAAAGTTAAAATTCAACCCTTATACTTTATAATATTATAAGTTTAATAATATTTATATATGTATAAGATCAAGTCGTCTTACCGCTAGTACGCCTCATTCACGAAGCCGGTCTGGCACTTGTGCTAGAATTCACAAAGTCACCTTTTACTGGCACTTGTGCTAGGGGTGAAGGTTTGTTGGACCTCATACACACGGATGTGTGTGGACCCTTCAAAACCGCCACAAGAGATGCTAAACGGTTCTATGTGACTTTTACTAATGATTTTAGTAGATATGGATATGTCTACCTAATCAAGCATAAGTCAGAAACCTTTGAGAAATTCAAAGAGTTTAAGAAAGAAGTGGAGAATCAGTTGGGCAGGAACATTAAGATGCTTCGATCCGATCGTGGTGGTGAGTATCTTAGTACTGAGTTCCTTGACCATCTTAAGAATGTGGGATTGTCTCACAATTGACACGTCCTAGGACCACCCGTTGAATGGTGTAGCTGAGAGGCGCAATCGGACCTTGTTGGACATGGTTCGTTCCATGATGAGTCGAGCTTCGCTACCACATCTCATTGGGGGTATGCCTTAGAGACTGCCGCCCATATCCTTAATCTAGTCCCTACAAAGAAGGTTGCCAAAACACCTCACGAGTTGTGGACTGGAAAAGTTCCCAATCTAGACCACATCAAGATTTGGGGTTGCGAGGCTTTCGTGAGACGCGAGATTCACGATAAGCTCGAACCCGAAGCGAAAGGTGTTTTTCATCGGCTACCACAGAAATCCTTTGGTTACATCTTCTACAGACCCAGTGATAATGTGGTCTTTGTAGCAAGAAGAGGATTC